ATAGCCAAGCAGGCTGAGAATCATAAAAACTGAAACTACACAAATTGGTTTTGATACTGCGGTGCAACCTGGTAAAATAAATCTAAAAATAATAGTAAAATGGCAATACAAGAACAGGCAGTAACAAGCAAGTTGTTGTAACTCTACAGCCACTAATATTTTACATGATAGTTATGCAAAAGCATCTTCAGTAAGGCCAAAATAAAATTTTAACCCATTTTTTTTTGTGCTCTTAATTCTATAGTTATATTTACAGTAGTGCCAAACTATTATGATTTTTCGTAATTATTACGATTTGGTTAAAAAATATTGTTATACAGTTGAATAATAAAATTGATATTTTTCGCAATAATCTGTTAAAAATAAGTTTTATTTCCTACACTACCAAGAGTTAAAAATTTTTGTCATTAGTAGTGACTATTAAGATAAAAATTACTCTTAAGTGGTTAATTTTTTATTTAATAGTAAATTCATGCATGCACATATCTATGTAGAATCAAATAATAGAAACACCTTGACATTGCTCTAATTTAAATTTTGTATGTGTTATTGTTCTTCTGATTATAGATAGCTTAAGTTTTTGTATTATTGTACTTTTCATTATAAATAGCTAAAGTTAGGTAAATTGACGCTTCTGTATTTAGTACATCAATATTATCCTATTTCGTTATTTTAAACTGTAACAAAAATGAATTGAGTTTACGCTAATTTTATATTATTAGCTAAATAACAAGTTCCATATCATGAAATTTAGTAATCTATCTTACAATTTTATTGAAGATTTGTTATCTCCACTTTGCTAATGATTTTTTTCTGTGCCTACATTAGTGTCTGCCAGAGAGGTCGTAAAATTTCTCAAATTTTTGGCATGAGCCTAAAAAATTAAAAAGCTCCAGTTGAAATTATGTAATTAATTCAACTTATATTACATATTATGTTACATTTATTTTCACATATTTTGAGAGTGTTGAAAAAAACTTCCAGCTCAATACTTTATGTATAATTCACTCAATGTAATAGCTTTTTAATTACATTGTAGATATATTTGCTTGGGATAGTTCCTGCTTTATACATTTGTTTATGAATTGTTGTAATCATTGTTCTCACTGGCTTTCTTCAGGGATGAGATTCTTCCTCTTCTAAACGAATTTTCGCTTTTGTCTTTCAAATTTCATCCTTTTTTTTTATCAAAAACTCCAATTTTTCTCTAAAAGTTTCACTTTTTTTTTTTAAATAAATAATCCGCTTTTTCTGAAATTTAAGCCATTGAAATGATCACATTTTTTTCTGATTTTCAAAGATAAACAGAAAATTCAAACTACTTTAACACACATTATATATAGTTAGCATTTATGAAATTCAAATTAGCACAATTTCAAGATGTATGGCATGAATGGCCGAAATCAACATCAAATGTCTACTTTCACCGTCGAATATCAACAATCACATATTGGTGAATGTCTGAAATATTTGTTATAGCCTATTTGATATTAATGTATTTGTTGATATTATTATATTTATTTGATATTTTAATATCTGCTGACGGTAGATTAGGAGGAACATCAGTGTTTGGTGTACCGGTTAAATGCATACTGTGCAGTAGCACTTGACCTTAAATAAACGCTCATGTAGGCCTACCCGGCAGTGGCACTGTACCTTAAAAAAGTATCACTTTAGGGTATATCGGGCAGTGGCACTTAACTAGACCTGGTACAGTAAGACCCCGCTTAATGCTGTTTCGTTTAGCTCTGTTTCGGTTTAGCGCTCTTTTATTTCAACCTGTGGGTTCAACTCGCAAGGCAGAGTACGCTGAAAATGATGAAAACACAAGTAAACTGGAATACAACATTTATTAATACTTTAAATGTTTAACTTAAATCTAAAATTCGTAATGTTGAATAAATATATAAAGAATCATCATCATGATCTACAATCTTAATCCTATGACGGATATCAGGCCATCGGCCAAAGACTCGAAGGGCGGGCTGTTCATCCATTAATGAAAAAAAATTGTTCGTTCTTTTATAGAACACGATGTCTTATGTCACATTAATTAACTGATTATTTCTTGACTTCTCTTCACTTTCATAATGGAGACGAATCTGCAAAAGACTAAAACACATTAAAGTTTATAACTTGAAATTACTTATTTCCACACAAATTCCCTGAAATTTTGCTCGTAGACTCCCCCAAATATGTACATAACATATCTGAAACAGTGTAGTTGTGTTTCTTGTTTGGTGCGGTGCTGTACGGATGCATTTTTATCATTTGAAACATTTGTTGACATTATTGTAAGTGATAATGAAAAACAAGAATAAAGCATCCAAAAAAGCATTTCACTGGGAACTAAAATGCAAGTGATTAGAAGATTAGATTCTGGTGAACATCAATCACAAATTAGTGCTGCATTGAATTTGGCAACTTCAACAATAAGGACAATTCTTAAGAATAAAGAAAAAATACTGTCATCGGCAACTGCAACTACATCTAGCTCTGCAACTAGAATCACCCAATCTAGAAATAACATTATAGAGGAAATGGAAAAATGACTGTCTATATGAATTGACCACGAAATTGAACGCAATATGCCATTAAACCAGTCGATCATANTTCGTTCTTTTATAGAACACGATGTCTTACGTCACATTGATTAACTGATTATTTCTTGACTTCTCTTCACTTTCATCCTGGAGACGAATCTGTAAAAGACTAAAACACTAAAGTTTATAACTTGAAATTACTTATTTCCACACAACCCGGGGATTCCCCGAAATTGTGCTCGTAGACTCCCCCAAATATGTACATAACATATCTGAAACAGTGTAGTTGTGTTTCTTGTTTGGTGCGGTGCTGTACGGATGCATTTTTATCATTTGAAACATTTGTTGACATTATTGTTAGTGCATATAAATTTATATAATACTATAACGATTAATACAGTGACAAATATTATCTTTAGTTTTTATCATGGGTGATAATGAAAAACAAGAATAAAGCATCCAAAAAAGCATTTCACTGGGAACTAAAATGCAAGTGATTAGAAGATTAGATTCATGTGAACGTCAATCTCAAATTAGTGCTGCATTGAATTTGGCAACTTCAACAATAAGGACAATTCTTAAGAATAAAGAAAAAATACTGTCATCGGCAACTGCAACTACATCTAGCTCTGCAACTAGAATTATGCAATCTAGAAATAACATTATAGAGGAAATGGAAAAATGACTGTCTATATGGATTGATCACGAAATTGAACGCAATATGCCATTAAGCCAATCTATCATATTGGAAAAAGCTAGAAGAATTTTTAATTACATTAAGATTGAGGCAAGCAGCAAATGGTGATACGAAAACGGCGGCTGAATTCCCAGCGACATTAAAAACAATAATTGAACAAGGAACCTCCTGAATTTGTTTTTAATGTTGATGAAACAGGCCTGTTTTGGAAAAGAATGCCAAAATGAACATTTCTATCCCATGAAGAGAACCGAGCGACAGGATTTAAAGCCGCAAAAGATCGCTTAACACTTCTACTGGGTGGTAACGCAAGTGGAGATTTCAAATTAAAACCACTACTAGTTTACCATTCCAAAAACCCAAGAGCGATGAAAGGCATATTTAAATCAACTTTACCAGTAATTTGGGAGTCTAATAAAAAATCATGGATAACTATTAAAATTTTCCAGAATTGGTTCACCGAACATTTCTGCCCGTCTGTTAAACGTTATTGCGAAATTAAAAAAACTTGAACAAAGAGCACTACTATTAATTGATAATGCTCCAAGCCACCCAACAAATTTATCAGACTTAACAACATGCATTCCAGTCGAAGTGAGGTTTTTTTGCGGTGACAAAATAGACGGAGAAGAGAAGTAATCAATAAGAGAATTTTGGAAAAACTACAATATCATGAATGCTGTCGAAAACATAAACCTTTCTTGGAATGAGATGACAGAAAGATCTTTGAAAGGAGTATGGAAGAACATTTGGCCAGATTTAAGTATGAGCGAAGACATTAGACACTATGTCGATATGGATGAAATAGTGGAATTAGCGAAACAAACTGGTTTAGATGAGGTAAATGTGGAAGACGTCGAAGAAATAGTTCAAGAAACAGCAGCTAGTATTTCTAATGATGACCTCAAGGAATTAACTGAGCAAAAAGAAGAAAAAAAAATATTGATAGTAGTGATTTCGAAGAAGAGCAAAAAGAACTTTCGATGGCGTTTGTGAAAAGGAGTTTGACCACTATAACTGAAATTATGGACCAATTTGTTGAAAATGATCCAAATTTTGACAGGAGTTCAAAAGCATGACGGAGTGTTATAGATGTTTTATCCACTTATCAACAACAAATTCTAACAGGACGCAAAAGGAAAACACAAACTACATTAGATGCCTTCTTGACAAAAAGGCAGAAAATTGGAAACACAAAATAGACTTAATGATCTGACTGACTTAGAATTTTATTTGTTTTTATAAGTACGTATATTCTTTTATATTGCTTTTATTTTTGTAAGAAATAAATGTTTGGTTTCATTTTTATTTAAAAAAAAACATAATTATTAAATTTAATACCTGATTAATTTTCTATCCATCTTCCCGTAATCCCATTATTTACATGTTAAGATAACCTCGTTTAGCGCTGTTTCGCATTACGCTCTACTTTGATGGAACCTATCCCACACGTTAAGCGGGGTCTTACTGTATATATTTTGGACATTTACCAAAGTGACTCTGTGATTGTCAACATTCATCGGTGACTTAGAGATATAAAGATTGGTTATTGATTTAATTGGTTCATTGGGATTTAATATTGATTGATTGGGATTGATATAAAGAAACACTTAAAGGTATAAAGATTGGATCTTAGTAGGTGAAAATCCAACCACTAAATCGAAAATCATTGGGTTGTTTTGATTTTATTTTGTGTACAACACAATTTCAGTGAAAAGATTGTGTTCTCCTACATTGTATTTCAATTTTTATCTATCTAGATTGTGAGGATTCTATTGGATAATGACGCAAACATAAATGCTGCCGATCACATGGGAAGTACACCCCTGCACCGAGCAGCGTCAAAGGGCAATCTCAAAATAATTAAACTTTTCCTGGACGAGTACCGAAATAGACTAGATGTCAATGCTAGAGATCGTGTTTGGAATACACCTCTGTGAGTACGATTTTTATTTTTTTTTGTGCACAGACTTTTTATTTCTTCATAATTTATTTTAAGTTTTTTCTTTTTAATAAAACTATGAGTTAATTTTTATTTGTGATGTAACTACCACTACAAATATTAAATACCAATTCACTAGTATATAAGACATGATTCTATCTTGAGGTACCTTTTTGATAGATGAAGATTGACACAGTCGATTTATAATTCCCCCATATTAAATAGGTAACAATTATTATTAATAAATAGTAAACTATTACTATTAATAAATAGTACATATTACAGTCAAACTCGTTTATAACGAGCTCGGATTTAACGAGAACTCGGATTTACTGAGGGCAACGAGAATATTTGGTTGGATCAATGTTAAGTCTATGGAACAGAAGTCGCTTTTAACGAGCAAGACCCGGTTTTAGCGAGCAATATTTTTTTTTGTCTAGCAATCTTTTTTCTCATCTTACTAGTCTTATCTTTTTTTCAAAATGATAAGAAATGTCCGCGAAATAAAAAAAAAACGCGATTAAATTAATTAATGTAATTAAAGTAAGTAAGTATTAGTTAAATTTTAAGTAAATTCAATCATTTGACCTCCCATGCNTATATTGAGGTCCTTTTTGATAGATGAAGATTGACATAGTCGATTTATAATTCCCCCATATTAAATAGTTAACAATTATTATTAATAAATAGTAAACTATTACTATTAATAAATAGTAAAAAATAATAAATATTTACTAAAATTTAATTTCAGTATAGAATTATCTTAGGATAAATGAATCTTATAATTATGTGGAAAAATATTCTATTCACTTAAAAAGTTCTTGAAATATAGCAAAATACGCAAAAACTGACATTAAGGTGTCCGAACTTCGGGTCGCTCTCCTGACCAAACTACAAGGGCCCAATTTCCCAGATTGTCTGACTGCACCCTATATTTTGGAGGTCAGAAATTCTAATCCGTCGAATAAAAGACACGTTTATTCATATAGTTCTCGTGTTTGATTTCGTAACTTATAATATTGTCTATTTGAAGTTACCCTCTCAAACCTATTAGGTTGAATCCGAGAACATGAAAATCCGATCATTGGATCAAAAGTTATTCAGGGTGATCGGGTTTTTATTTTTGCACACTGTCACAGCATATTTTATAGTTAAAACTAAGTTCATAAGATTGATTTACTGTATGTAATTCAGTCTTGTATTGAAGTTAAAAAAATATTTTAATACTGTAAATAACCTATTGCAGGCATTTAGCGTGTGAAGAAGAAAGAATGGAAGTAGCAAAATTATTAATGGAGGCTGGGGCTGATCCAGATACGCTAAATAAGGTATTGTATGCAAGTTATTGCATTTTATGAAAGTCTGATTTTGGAAAATCTCAACAATAGTAAATGGGGCTGTGGTGACTCAGGGGATAGGGTGTTCGTCTTCCAATTAGGTGAACTGGTTTCGAACCTCAGCAATGGCTAATTGATACGAATTCAGCATCCGGCTTGCACCAATCACAGTGCTGACACAAAACTATCCTCCGTGGTAGGCGGAGGATATTTTTGTGTCAGGACACTTCTGTCACACCCGTTAATAGGGCAGACCAATTCATGCATCTATTCGTCCATCCCCAGATTGTAATTTTGACCTGAACCAGAGAACGATTACTCTCCAATTCAGTACTCCCAGAGGTATAATTTGTTATGGGAACATGGAGGACTTAGTGACCTGGCAAATGTAACATGCACCAGTCACCCTTTACTACACAGGGAGTCATTGGACGGCTGCATTCGAACTCCCGTTCTCACGAACCAGGCTATCCTGGCCCCAAAATACTCACATGTTGAAGGGTTCTGCAATAAGTACCAAATATAGGTATAAAGCAGTGGTTCCTAACCTGGGGGCGACGAGTATTCAAAAGATAAAAATTGCTAATAATATTAATAATAAAAGCTATTTGAGATTGAAATTGAAAATATATATGAAACCCATGGTTCTGGTGCAGACAAAGAATTATGATAGTTAAAATTAAGAAAAATTCAAGTGCAGGATCGTTTTTGTCATACGTTTTGGACAAAACGTATGACAAACGTTCAATATCTAACGTTCTTCTGTTTCCAGGCGTATTGATGAGATGGCCGCCGACGTTGAATGAAAACTCATCAAATTTCTGAAAGAAGGTAAATTTGCGTTGCAGATTGATGAATCAACTGTGATAGATAACAAAGCTGTTATAGCTTACGTGAGATTCATAAATGAGAGTAAGGAGATTAATGAGAAAATGTTGTTTACAAGAACTTTGAACGCAGGTACAAAAGGATCGTCGATTTTTAAATTGGTCAAAGATTATTTTGAGGTAAAAGAAATTCCCCTCACAAATGTAAGTGCTTGTGCAACAGATGGTGCTCCAACCATGTCTGGTTGTCATACTAGATTTCTAGGTCACCTTAAAAAAGAAGTACCGGAAGTTATCTCACCATTCATTATGTCATTCATCATCAACTTTTGGCTGCGAAAAATTTGTTATTTCTAGCATCAATAAAATAAAAGCTAATTCTCCTAATAACCGTTTGTTCCGAGAACTTTGCCATGAAAATGATGAAGATTTCGAATTCCTGCTCCTACATACAGCTGTGA